TCAAGTTTTGCTTCATAATACCCATACCCAGTATTTATTTCTGCTTCACATTTGACCTACTTTTGCCCAAAGAAACCCTCGAACTTGCCTACCATTATTTTCCTTAACCAGCCTTCTTTTTTAGGTTGACTTCGTACCCTCTTCTGCTTACTCCTAGCATGTAAGTTGCCTGATCATAACACTACATTTGCTTTCAAGCAACCAGTTGCTGCAGATCACTGCTGCACCCCCCCCAAAGGGCTTGAAGCTTACCTAAAGATCTACATGCACGTTGCTTACAAATCTACACTTTTTGCTCAAAAACAGGGCAATCAAGTTGCTTTACTAGCAAACAACAAACCCACCAAAACAATCAAGCAAAAAAAAAGACATTTTCAGCAATTAACAACACCAGTTGTTGCTTATTACTAATCCTTTCTTGCCCAACATTATTTTTCTTCAACAGTTTTGTCCCAGCTTTTTTTACATTCATTTCTTTTTCTTGCTTAATTATGACATGTAAGTTGCCTAAACATATCACCCAAGTTGCTCAAACTACCTGAAAAATTGATTCATAAATACCCACGGCAGTTTTCCTTTGCTTCACGTTAAGCTACTCCTTTTGCTTAACCATAGCATGTAAATTGCCTAACCATAACACTTGAATTGCTTAAAAACAACCACTTTTTGCGGCACAACACTTTTTTGGATTTTCCCCCTAAAACAATGCTTGAAGCTTGCCTAAGCATCTACACACAGCAATCAAGTTGCTCAAAACAGGGCAATCAAGTTGCTCAAAACAGGGCAATCAAGTTGCTTCACCAGCAAACAGACTTGGCCTTGTACATATCATAGGAAGGCTTGTGTTCTTATGTTTTTTTCATCCAATGCATGCTCTTCCAAAAAAATTGGACTGCAGGTTTGTACAGATCATGGGGAAACTTGTGTTCTTCTATAACACAGGGGACATAGAGGAAAGGAAGCACACATCCATGGGGGAAGTGAAAGATAACTCCGACCTTTTTCCTCTGCCGCTTTCTACCCTTCCTTAGCCTGGAGAACAAACCATAAACCAGCCGCCATTGGAGGGTTGTGAAGAGCTTTCTGGATCTGGGAGCTACCCCGTTGTGGCTTCGGAGAGAACAAGATGGGTTTGGGCGGTTTGGTGGGGAGTAAAGGAGGCGCCAAGGGGACAGGGGGGAACACGTGTAGAGGGGCAAAGGGAAGCCCATGGTGGGTGAGGGACGGGATCACGTGAGCTCTGCAGCTCGATGATTGGGCGCGAGGAATCGGGAGCGGGGGGACCAGGTGCTTTCCTATCCTGGATAGGGGGACAAAAAATTTCTTTTTTGGGAGGGCCGCCAGGGAATGCTAGGGAGTAGCCGGCTGCTCCCTAGATGCGTCCTTTTTTTTATGTATGGCCCCGGTCGAGCTTGAACTATCTTGACTTGCCCAATCATTCCTAAGAAAACGGATGCTGAGAACGTGGGCGACTTCCGACCCATCAGCTTTTCACATAGCATCTAAACTAATACATCCGTATCTAGACAAATTTAAGACAAACATTTTGGGACGGAGGGAGTATTTGCCAAGTCGCTAGCGACTAGAGTGAGACCGAGCATGAAGAACGTAGTGGCCTCCAATCTGTCTGTATTTATCAAAGAATGAAGCTTGCATGACAATTTTCTCTTGGCGCGCCAAGTTGCGCCAGTTGCTAGGAAGATCTCCGTGAGGAAGTGCAAAGGTGTTTTCCTCAAGCTTGACATCTCTTGCACATTTGACTCTTTATCCTGACTACTATTCTTGTTCGAACTACTCAGAGCCAAAGGGTTCGGCTCGAGGTGGCTCAATTGGCTGGCATGCTCCTTCAATCTGCCTCCACAAGAATTCTGATCAGTGGTATGCTTGGAAGGACAATGATGCATGCATGCTCAAGGATTGCGCCAAGGAGACCCAATTTCGTTGTTATTATTTTCCATAGCCATGGATGCTTTGATAGAGCTCATCGGGAAAGCTCTAGAGGTCAGCATGCTCGGCGATTTTAGAGGCATATATATCGGCAGCTCGACGTATTTCATCCATGCGGACGATGTAACCTTCTTCATACGACCCACCCGGCTGGCTGGATCTCAATTTTTTTAGAGAGGCTCTGAATGCTTTTGGGGAAGCTTCCGGTCTGAGAGCGAACTACAGAAAAAATCCTCGGCCACTGTGATCAAAGCAGAGCACGAGGACAAGGACAAGGTGGCCGAGCTGAAAGAGTTCCCTTGTCGCTACCTTGGTCTTCAGCTTGCTATATACTCCCTCCGTTCCTAAATGTAAGTCTGTGTAGACATTCCACTATGAATCACATACGGATGTATATAGATGCATATTAAGTGTAGATTCATTCATTTTCTTCCGCATGTAGTCCACCTAGTGGAATATCTAGAAAGACTTATATTTAGGAACGAGAGAGTATAAAGCAGTTGACGAGGTCTGATTGGCAGCCCTTGATCTATATGGTGAGGAAGTTTATCGCCGCTTGGCAGAGAGGTTTCATTCATAAGCCTGGGAGATTAGTGTCTGTCAAATCGGTTATCTCAGTAGACCAATGCATCAATTGCTGGTTTTAGATGCGCCTGATTGGGTGTTGGACGAGATCAATGCATGGATGCACCCCTTCCTCTCTGCTGGCAAAGAGAAGACGAACGGCGGACAATGTCTCATTGCATGAAAAACAATCTGTAGGCCTATGTGCCACGGCGGCTAGGTGTCAAGAACTTGAAATTCCAAGCCCTGACATTGAGGGTCCTTTGGGAATGGCTCAGAAGAACTGATCACAGGAGGCCTTGGTAAGGGCTCGCACTTATGATTGATACCGAAGCCAGAGTTGTTTTCGACAGCCTTGTCGGCATATTGGTCAGCCATAGAGACACTGTCCTATTTCGGCGTGATCGATGGATCCACGGCTTCTCTGTGGCAGATTTCGCGTCCAACCTCATTTCCATGATTGACACGCGCTCCATCAACCACAGAACGGTGGATCAAGTGATTACCGGTGAGCGGTGGCTTCAGGATGTGCACGGTGACATCTCCTCATGACACAGATCCAGATTATGCACTTGAGACATGCCATAGCTACGGTGCAGCGTGACCCCCTCGCTACTGGCCGTGTGCTGGTGATGAGGGAACATACTCTGCCAAGTCTACCTACGAAAGGATCTGCCAAGGACTGACACACACCCCAATCGCTACTTGCAGCTAGAGGAGTTATGCTCCACTAATGCAGAAGATCTTCGCCTGTCTGGTTACGCAACACCGTCTTTCAATCTCGGATCATAGGGTACACCATGGGCTACAAGATCAACCCTCGGCTTGCTACACTTGTTTGGAGGAAGAAGACAATGTTGAACACATTCTGGTGAATTGCGTCTATGCTGGTGAAGTTTGGCACCGATGTCTCGACAAACTGCATTTTTTGAGCGAGGCTGGGTGTCAGATTTTTTTTCCGGGGTTGTTTTTTTAGCAAAGATAACTAGGCTTTTATTCACTGCCGAGAATGTTTACAGGGATTACATTCGTGTCAAAATGAGCGCCCAACCAAATGTGCCTCCCTACATGAAGATTGACACTATGCCTAGCTAACTTATGTGCTTCGAAATTAGAAACTCTAGATTCAAACTCAAAATTACAAGAATAAAAAACTTTCAAAGTCTCTTTCAATTCTCTGATAATACCATCGTAGTTGCCTCGCACGTTCTCCTGGATATGATTTATGACTTGTTTGCAATCAGACGCCATGGGCAAATGTTGCATGCCCAAATCATGTGCAAGAGATAATGCCTCCCTACATGCCACTGCTTCAACCAACCGTAGCAGGATCAAGCAGTCAGTGGATAACGAGAATAGACGAGCCCAAATAGCTTCCATCGCGATCCAGGCAAATAGTAGCTGCTGCACCCACATCAGGATCAATTGATATGCCCGCGTCAACATTTATTTTGATCGTTCCTTCTGGAGGTGGCACCCACCGTACTTGCACATTTGGAGCCGTTATCACATTCCAATTCTGCTATGAACCTCGTGACAAATAAATGTGTTGATAATAGGCTTTGGACGACTCCTTAATGAATTTGTCAGATTTGTGCAGGAAGGACGGGAGATTTACTTTTTTGAGTGTGGGGGGACGGAAGATTAGGGATGGGGAAAAAGGCTGAGAAAGATTTCTTCGATGGGGAATTTTTGCGTGGAGGGATGTCATGCATGGACGCAAGAAGCCACACGGAGAAACTAAAGTTTGCTACGACTGACATGCAACACACGGAGTTGGGCCAACACGGGTCGACCGCTTCCTGAGTCTGACCATCCAAAGTCCGCTACTTGACTTTAGACTGACCCATGGGGCCCACCTCGCGAGGAAACGCTGGACCGCTCTCACGGCTTCCCATTTGTAGGTAAAAAATGATACTCCAGACATATACATGTGGGGTCCATCGTAACCCACGGCCCCAAATCACCGAGGAGCCTCCCTTTTAAGGGAGCTTAGAGTTTTAGGAGGTGCCAACATTTATTTTGACCGTTCCTTTTGAACGTGGCACCCATCCCTACTTGCACATTTGGAGCTATTATCGTATTTCAATTCTGCCATGAACCTCGTGATGGACAACCAAATGTGTTGATAATGGGCTTCGGACGACTCCGTCCGAAGGAGTCGTCCGAAGCCCATTATCAACCACAAAATATTTGGTTGATAATGGGCTTCGGACGACTTTAATTGATGGGCCTCGTCGGGCTGGGCTGGAAGAGATAGATGGCCTGGTCCGTGGGCTTGACGGCCCACGCAGGCCCAGCAAGGAGAGAGAGTAAAGCCAGTGTGGTGGACTGGAGCCGACTCCTCCCCCTCTTCTCCCTCGCGGCGCCTCCCCCCTCCTCCCCCCCACCTCGTCGTCGCCGGCGCCGGCGCCGGAGGCACCCGCCGCGCGCGCCCGTGCCGGCTCCGCTCGCTCCGCGGAAGGGAGATCGGCCGAATTGGCCCGCAGATGGGGAAGGCGAACGGCGTCGGCGTCGGCGGCGCCGTCGACGCGGATGTGTCGGCGGTTGGGGCGCTGGTGTGGGTGCGCCGCCCCAACGGGTCGTGGTGGCCCGGCAGGGTGGCCTCGCGCCTCGAGCTCCCCGACGGCTGCCCCGCGCCGCCCCGCTCGCCGGCCACCCCCATCCTGCTCCTCGGCCGCCGCGACGGCCCCGCCTTAGTGTACGCCGCCCGCCCTCCTCCCTCCCTTCCTTCTTCCTCCTCCGCTCTCCGCCTCCGCCTCACCGTTCCTTCCTTCCTTCTTTGCAGCGAGTGGTGCAACCTGGAGAGGAGCAAGCGCGTGAAGCCCTTCCGATGCGGGGAGGCGGACCTGGACGACCTCATCCGCAGGGCCGAGGAGCAGGCGGCGCGCCGCCGCAGGGCCAGCGCCGCCAGGAACGCCCGCAAGGAGGACGCCGTGCTCCAGGCCCTCGACATCGAGCGGGCCCGCCTCCGCCTCCGCCCCAGGCCACCAAGCACCACCCCCTCCTGCCCGCCGCCGCCGCCGCCGCCGCCGCCGCCCAGGAAGCGCAAGACGCCCAACGACTCCGAGGACGACGCGCCCGCCGCCAGGCGCATGAGGGACCTCACCGACATCGGATCCCCCACGAAGCCCACCACCGGCCAGATGACAAGGAGCAGGCAGGCTCACCACGATGCCGCCGCCGCCGCCGCCGCCAAGAGGAGCAAGCTGCCTCCTACCGTGGACCAGGTGGACAACAACCTGCCCTGCGGGGCCTTGAGGAAGAAGGACAGGTCCCGCCCGCTCTCAGAGCTCTGCAACGGGGTCAAGCCCAGCAATGGCTTGGATACGACGCTGGATAAGTTCAAGCCGGAGCAAACAAATGGTGTCAGCGGAGCCTCCTGCGTCCCGAGGCCACTCGATGATGTGTTCCCCCGTGGTCCTGGGGATCAACCTGTCAATGCCCCCATAGTCGCCGCCGCCGCTGCCGCCGCCACGAGCATCTTGAAAGCAGGTAAACTAGCCATTTCCTCTCTGTTTTTGTTATTATCTTGATTGATGCAATGCAAATTCTTCTCTAGTCCTTTGTGGGCAACAATGCCCATCGCCACTTATATAGCTATCTATGGAAAAACTTTCATTAGTTGTTTCAGAGCAACTACAATTTTAGTCTTGAATCCCTGTGCAGCAATAGATATATAGTTACACCAATGTTGTGTGACCAAGGAAGCATGGTGCTCCTTTTGTATGTATATGAACAAGCCATGACCCTCACCTTTATGTCAACTAAACCTGAATCTAGCAATCCTGACCCAATACTGGCCATCTGCTCATCATTATAAATGGTTCTGGTTTGTGTATCTGTTAACAAGTATAGAACGCTCACAGAATGCCTGCCATATATTCACGAATGCGCAACAACTTATTTGGAATAGATGAAGTTTATTTGGAATAGATGAAGTATCTATCTTTTACAGAAAAACCAAACTTATTTACTGACCATTGTAAAGGATGACCCAACATGCCATCTGCTGACCATTCTAATGGATGGTTCATGCATCCGTTGAGAAGTATATAGAGTGCTCACAGTACGCATGACATATAGTCATGAATGTGTAATGACATATTTGGAATAGATGAACTATCTATCTATTACAGAAAATAAATAAATAAAACTGTGGTGCTCACAGTACATCTGGCATATGGTCATGAATGTGTAATAATTTTTTTGGAATAGATGAACAATCTATCTGTTACAGGAATAAATAAATTATAAAATGTGGTACTGATTGTTTTATGGGTTCCTAGCTACTGCTTCACATCCTGCAATGTTTCTCTTTCCACCCCTTTTTTGCACTTTTGAGGAATGCATTACTTACCAGCTAAATTTTTGCCAGATCATTTGCACGCCCACCAACCATGTGCCCCAACGAAGGCTCCTCCTACCTTGGAATGCACCAAGCGGGCTTCGAACTGCAGCAAAGATGGCATGTCTTTGCAATGTGACAGCAGAAATCCCAAGAAGAAAACCATGAGCTCTGCTGAGCATGAGGGCGGCGGCAGGACCAGGAGAAGGACAACGAAGCACAAAGCGGCACCAATCAACGAGGTTATCCTTTTGAAGAGAAGGACGGTGAAGAGTGCCGCCGCACCTGATGAGGATGATAAAAGCCTTGTTGTGATGCTCCCTGATGCTCTTGTCCATGCGGCTCTGCGGCAGCGGTCTGAAATCAAGTGCGAGCCTGAAGAGCCCTCTGGAACTATAGGCAGGCATCATTCAAACGGCAAGACCGGTTCAGTACCACCTGTGGTGTCGAAGCCGGTGCTGCCCCAGCGCAGAGATCTTAGATGCCATGTTGCTGTGAAGCCGACCAAGACCCTGCAGCTGAACCCGTCCCTGTACGACGTGGAAATAAGCAGCGGGCCGGGATGCGGCGGGGGCAGCAAGGGGCGGCACGTGCCCCTCGTGTCCCTGATGAGCAGGTCGAGCAGGAGGCCCGTGGTTGGGTACCCGGTGTCCGTGGAGGTGCTGGATGCCGCGTGCTGCCACCCTCCCGCCCCGAGCGTTGACGGGGTGCCGGACGCCGCCCGCCGCCACCCTCCTGCCCCGAGCGTCGACGGTGTACGGGACGCCGTGCGCTGCCACCCTCCTGCCCCGAGCGTCGCCGGGGTGCTGGACGCCACATGCCGCCACCCACCTGCCCCGAGTGTCGACAGGGCGCCGGACGCCGCGCGCCGTCACCCTCCAGCCCCGAGCGTTGATGGGGTACGGTACGCCGCGCGGCGCCACCCTCCCGCCCCGGGCGTCGGCGGCGTCGACCACCCGCCCTCCACGAGCAGCGGCGCCCACAGGCTAGTGAAGGTGAAGGAGGAGGTGGAGGAGGAAGCCCCGCAGCGCGCTGTGCCGGCGTCGGCGCAGAGGGCGCGGGCGAGGCACAGCCGCCGGAAGGCCTCGGAGGACGAGCTGTGGCGGCCGCACAGCAAGGAGGAGGAGGTAGGTGCGGCCCCGCGGCCAGCGCGGGCGAGGAGGAGCGTGCGCAGGAAGGTGGCGTCGGAGGACGACGAGTTGTGGCGGCCGCACAGCAAGAAGCCGGCTGTGGCGGTGGCGTCCCCAAGGAAGATGCGGAGGCTGTCGTCCCTGGGCGCTCCGAGCCAGCGAGGAGGGGGTGAGGAGGCGAGGAGGAGGAGGAGTAAGGGGCCGGGGGCGGGGCAGCTGGTGGTGGCGTGCGTGCCGGTGCGCGTGGTGTTCAGCCGGATCAAGGAGGCGCTGCTGAGCCAGCCGCTCAAGTTGAAATCAAAATGAAATGAAATGAGGCGTTGGTTGGTTACCTACCTGGTGGGTGTAAATGAAAGTCAAAATGTCTTGTTGTGTGCTGCTGCTCCCAGCCATGTATGTGTTGTGTATGTACATGTGCTGTTTCTGTGTGTCTGCTCTAACTCCAGAAGATGATGATGATGATGAAGATGATGATTCAGATTGAGTCTGTCTGGTCTTTTGAATAACTAACTAAACCAATATAATGTAATGTTAGGAGGAGGATGAGGATGATGGGCAAAGGAAAGCAGCCGAGCATATATACATGGTCTGGTCTGGTCTGGTCTGGTCTCTCCTTTTTGTATGTATGTATGTATGCATGTATGCTCTCAGCTCCTACCTGCCTCTTAAGATAAGATGATTCATGTTTTTCAGCTGCTGTGATGCGCTCTTTTCTTCTTGTTAGCTCAGACATAAATCAAGAAGCAACAGCCAAGCTGACACCTGGAGGCTGCCAAATTACTATCTACTCCTAACTAATTTTGCTTGCTTGCATTACCATGGAATGGAATGGAATGGAATGGGAACGACTAGGATAGAATCTGAGCTTACGTTGCAAAATTAGAAAAAGGCAAAGTTGAGCGGATGGATGGATGGCACAGATTCTGGTGGAGGATGGCAAGCCACTTAAGTGTAGATTTCATGAAACCCCCCTCTACTAACAGTTAGATATAAAACACAACTTTTGCAGCAACAACCTTAACTGTCTTATCTTTCTCTACAATTGTTCTGTCCAACAACCATTTATAGATCTGCAGTCATGACGCATCATTTACAAAAAGAGAATCTTTGCACATATCTATTTCATGAAATACATGTGTATTTCAGTACATCATCACTAATTATGCAAGGATACTGAAGATGTTTGTCACGAAAAAAGTATTCAAGTATCTGATAGGAACTGGGTCCCTACCAGGACGAGCTCCCAGGTTATAGGGGTGGAAGGAGGGCCGGCGTGAAGGAAGGCGAGGCGAGAGAGAGCGCAGGGCGGCGGCTAGGGTTAGGTCTCCCGGCTCCCTTCAGGAAGTCGAGCAAATATGATTGCTTCTGTTTAATCTCAACACGGGTCCTTACATGGGTTTATATAATCCTTCTAACAAGATAATTGGGCTAAGCCCCTAACACAATAAGATAACTTGGGCTCGGCCCCTAACTGCCTGTGCCATGAGGCCTCCTCTGGCTATAGTGTATACCGGTCATTGATAACCCACAAGTATAGGGAATCGTTTGTAGCCTTCTTCGATAAATAAGAGTGTCGAACCCGACGATGAGCTAAAGATAGAATAAATATTCCCTCAAGTTCTATCGACCACCGATACAACTCTACGCACACTTGACGTTTGTTTTACCTAAAACAAGTATGAAACTATTTTGCAAGAATAAAACTACGAGTACTTTGCGAGAATAAAACTAAGAATAAACTGCAAGGTAATAAAAATGGATAGCTTTTGTCAACAAGAAAGTCATTTGTCCATAGGCAATCGATAACAAGTACCAATAATCATTCTTGCAATTTTATATGAGGGAGAGGCATGAGCTAACATACTTTCTCTACTTGGATCATATGCACTTATGATTGGAACTCTAGCAAGCATCCACAACTACTAAAGATCGTTAAGGTCGTGAAACCCAACCATAGCATTAAGTATCAAGTCCTCTTTATCCCATACGCAACAACCCACCTACTAGGGTTTAAACTTCTGTAACTCTCGCAACCCACCATAAGCGAATCATGAACGTATTGCAACACCCTATAGCGGGGATCCCTCGTGTTTGCACGAGACGGAGGGCACCATAGGACAACACCACAAATAAAATATACAATCATACCAACCAAGATCACGATTAGCCCACATGACAAAATGGATCTACTCAAACATCATAGGATAGCCAAATGTCCTTGGGAAATAATATATGGAGTTGAGCACCATGTTTAAGTAGAGATTACAGTGGGGAGAAGAGGGGTTACACCACTACATAGAGGGGGAGAGAGTTGGTGTTGACGGTAGCAAGATTGTTGATGTAGATCGCCGTCACGATCCTAGCCCCGGCGGCACTCCGACGCCACCGAGAGAGGGGGGGGGGGAGAACTCCCCCCTTCTTCTTCTTCCTTGGCCTCCCCCCTAGATGGGAGGAGAGTTCCCCCTCTGGTCCATGGCCTCCATGGCGGCGGAGGGGCGGGAGCCCCTTCGAGATTGGATCTCCCTCTTTGTTCTCTTCTGTTTTGCGTTCCCCAGATGTTGCCCTTCACCGTTTCTTAAATTCCCGGAGTTCCGTAACTCCGATTGCGCTAAAAAAATTACACGATGTTTTCCATAAATTATCTTTCTTGCGCCAGAAGAAGGGCCCCAACCGACCATCGAGGAGGGCATAAGATACCTGGGCGCGCCAAGGGGTGCTCGGCGCGCCCTGGTGGGTTATGCTCACTGTGGGCCCCCGTTTGCGTTGATTCCACCTCCCAAAAATCAGAAATACCAAAATAATTCTCCGTAAATTTTTATCGCGTTTGGACTTTGTTTGATATGACTTCTCTGTGAAACAAAATCATGCAACGAACACGAACTTGCACTAGGCACTGGATCAATAGGTTAGTCCAATAAATCATATAAAAAGTTGCCAAAAATATGTGAAAGTTGTATAATATTGGCATGAAACAATCAAAAATTATAGATACGATGGAGACGTATCAGCATCCCAAGCTTAATTCTTGCTCACCCTCGAGTAGGTAAATGATAAAAAAGATAATTTTTGAAGTGGAATGCTACCTAGCATAAACTTGATCATATATCTAGTCATGACATGAATATTAAGACATAAGTGATTCAAAGCAATAGTCTATAATTTGACATAAAGACATCTATACTCAGGCATCCCAACAAACAATCATGTCTTTCAAAATATCAATGCTAAAGAAAGCTATCCCTACAAAATCATATAATCTTGTCATGATGTGTCTTCTTAACACAAAGTATTTATCATGCACAACCCCGATGACAAGCTGAACAATTGGTTCATACTTTTTAACATGCTTCAGCTTTTTCAACCCTCACGCAATACATGAGCGCAAGCCATGGATATAGCACTATGGGTGGAATAGAGTATGATGATAGGGGTAAGTATAGAGAAGACAAAAAGCAAGAAAGTCTCACATCGACGCGGCTAACCAACGGGCTATGGAGATGCCCATCAATTGATATCAACGTGAGGATTAGGGATTGCCATACAACAGATGCACTAAGAGCTATAAGTGTATGAAAGCTCAATATGAAAACTAAGTGGGTGTGCATCCAACTTGCTTGCTCATGAAGACCTCAGGCATTTGAGGAAGCACATCATCGAAATGTACAAGCCAAGTTCTATAATGAAAACCCCCCACTAGTATATGAAAGTGACTAAATAGGAGACTCTCTATATGAAAAACATGGTGCTACTTTGAAGCACAAGTGTGGTAAAAGATAGTAATAATGCCCGTTCTCTCTTTTTTTATTTTTTTCCTTTTCCTTTTCCTTTTTTTATTTTTTTCTCTCATTGTCCGGAGTCTCATCCCGACTTATGGGGGAATCATAGTCTCCATCATCCTTTCCTCACTGGGACATGCTCTAATAATGAATAATGATGATCATCACACTTCTATTTACTTATAACTCAAAAGAAATTCTCAGTCAAAAAAACTCAAAAGAAATGAAAATTACAACTCGATACCTAGAAGAAAATATGACTCTATGAATGCCTCTCGCAGTGTACCAGGATATGCAATGATCTAGCATAACAACGATATCAAAAAACGGACAAGCCATGGAAATATCATGCTAGCTATCTTACGATCATGCAAAGCAATATGAAAACGAATGCTCAAATCATCAAAACGGAGGCGGTGGAAGTTGCATGGAAATATATATCGGAATGGCTATGGAAAGGCCATAATAGGTAGGTATGGTGGCTGTTTTGAGGAAGATATAATAAGGCTTATGTGTGACAGAGCGTATCATATCACGAGGTTTGGATGCACCTGCAAAGTCTGCACCACATCTCGAGGTGAGAAAGGGCAATGCATGGTACCGTAGAGGCTAGCATATTGCGGAAAGGTAAGAGTATGTATAATCCATGGACTCACATTAGTCATAAAGAACTCATATACTTATTGCAAAAGTTTATTAGCCCTCGAAGCAAAGTACTACTAAGAATGCCCCTAGGGGGATAGATTGGTAGGAAAAGACCATCGCTCGTCCCCGACCGCCACTCATAAGGAATACAATCAATAATAAATCATGCTCCAACTTCATAGCGTAACGAGAGACTATACGTGCATGCTTCAGGAATCACAAACCTTAACACCAATATTCTTACTAACCACAACTTTTTACTAGTACCTCCCCCACATATTATCATCTCTATATCACAAAACTATTGCAAGGAATCAAACATATCATATTCAGTGATCCATAAGTTTTATGTAGGATTTCATGACTAACCATGCAATTGACAATTCATGTCAACTCTCTAAATAGATATAAGTGAAGCACAAGAGTTTAACTCTTTCTACAAAATACCATGCTCTAGCAAATATAAGTGAAGCAAAAGAGCATTCTATAGATAACGGTTTTCCATGTGAAGAGAAATAGACAATCCAAACTTCAAATGATATAAGTGAAGCACATGAAGCGTTCTATAAAGCCATACTCAAAAGATATAAGTGAAGTGCAATGAGCATTCTATAAATCGACCATGGACTATCTCATACCAGCACGTGCATAAAAGAAAAATGATAACTAAGCACAAAAGACGCTCCAAGATTTACACATATCACATGAACAAAATGAGAACGAAAACATATCGATACTTGTTGAAGAAAGATGGGATGCCTTCTGGGGCATCCCCAAGGTTAGGCGCTTGAGTCTCCTTTGGATATTTACTTGGGGTTCCTTGGGCATCCCTAAGCTTGAGCTCTTGCCTCTCCTCCTTCTCCTCATATCGAGTCCTCCTCGATC